CAGTTCATACAGAGCCGATGAGTGCTACCGCCGAGGAGGTGGGGGTCAAGCCTGATTCGGGGCTCCGGGAAGTGCTTCCTGACCCTCGTCATCTTATCAACATTTGCTTTTTTTCTACCTACGTTTATATACGTTACAAATTAAACTAAATACAACTGACTATTAAAGGAGGAAAAATTTTCGCAAATTTTGACGTCATTTGAGGCGGGGGGGGGTCGCTTAAATCCGTGAATTTGTGCATACTAAGTCAACGAAAAAACACTATATAAAATTCATTATTTTTATCCCTAATTTTGAATGCGTTAAAATTATTCATGTTTTAACAAGAAAAAAATCTCAAGTTGATGTTAAAAATTACCCCAAAACATTGTTGATTTATTCAAAATGGAATGATCTATTATGACATGTCTCTAATTTGTATTCAGATACATTGTATTTATTTTCAATTTTTCTAGTTGAATTGTTCACCTACATTGCATATGATCCATTATTGTACATAATTAGGTTACAATAAAATTTGTATTTTACATGAATACTACTTTATGAAAATTTACATATAGCAGAGTAGGTAGCCCCGTGTCATAGATTCGGGGCGTGGTGTGATCCGCATCATAGATTCGGGGCGGGGGGTGCTTACGAGGCTCCTGCACCAACCCTGAATACAGAAATACTTAATCCAGCAGTTGTAGGATTTCAAGGATATCTAACCGATAAAGTGTGTATGGCTTAAAAGGGTCAATAGAACCTTGCTTGCCTTGACCCTCTCCCGTCACCAAGTGGTCTAAAGCATACCAGATTAAACGATGGTTTCTCCTAGGAAGAAGAGAATTCTAATGAATAGAACACACAGCAGAATTTGACCGGAAATAGGACAAAAAAAGTGGGGGTTCGTTAAAGACATTGGAATAAGGAATGGGATATTTATGCTCGCCTATGTCAGAAAGAGCAATACACATGCAGAAGGATATATACCTACTCTACAGTTCAAAAGTTTGAGGCTACCCCTCAGAATTAGCATGGAATGAACTTGACAGAAGAGTGAAAAAAAGAAAAGAAAAAAGAGCTTTTAGTCATTGAAAAAAGAATAGAATCAATTATCAAACATATACTTTGAGAAACCTTTGCAAAGAATGCGACAAATTTGTGCTGCAGTAATCAAGACTAAAGGAGGATATTTTAACGAGAGCAAAATTTAATCATATTTTTTTTCTTTTTGTCATAATAAAACTTCAAATAAAAAGTCATGTCTCATTTTCCTTTAAACATGTTGTTGTGTCGGAAACCTACCACCCCTCTTGAAGATCAACTTGTCTGCGTCTGTGAACAAAGACTTTAAATAGTGGCATGTCAGTTGACATTGGGAAGATAGATAGACAGAGAAGTTCTTAGCTGAGCTAGTTATTGACTACTCAGGCGATTTCTGTACCTTTTTACCAACCTATTAAAACCCTTTTTATTGTTACGTGTTATTTGGCGTTTGTCTCTACTAACCCCAAATCAACATCATAACACATGTATAATAATTTTCTCTTATTTAAAGTACAAAACAACTTTCGGGGCCAAGTTAAAAAATTACCAGTGTTTTTCCCAAATTTTTGAACTGTATTGTATGTTTTATAGATTATGCAAAAATGTTTGGTAAAGTATGTCACAATTAACTGTTGGAACTGCTAGGCAACTATCCGAGACATATTTGGGAAGGATATTAGAATAATCTAGAACATTTACTGGCAGTAAACCGCCTGCATAGAGATAGAATATAACTTAAGTCACGACACAAAAATAGAAAGGTTTTTTTTTTCTTCTTCCCGGACTTATTCGACCTTGAGGCGATTCTGTGAGAATTTCCAGGATTTATTATTGGCGACCAAAATCTTAATATACAGATAACACAGTGTTGAAAGAAGACAAAGAAAATATCTCTTACAGAAGGTAGTGAAGGAAATCAAAAAGGAAGGACTAAATATAAATTTCAAAAATGCAAAATGCATGGTTGTCAGCAAAAGGGAGATCCCAGCATGTAATTTACAAGTTCTTTTGGATCCCTTTCTTTGTCTGCATGTCTCACTCGCGTATCTTACGTTTTACCTGTCACAGGTCGGGCATGATTTTATCATCTCTCAGTTGCGTCTCTGTCTTCCTTGGAGGCGCATCTGAATAAAATCATACTGTGAGGTGCCCAGCGCTAGGGAAGAGATGCCTGAGCCTGCACCCTCTCGTTGCATTAGAGAGATGGATCGGTGCTCGCACAGAGGCCAGCGCAACCAAATTGCTCGGGAAATTTTTGTTCTTAGACCGGGTGCACGCGCTCGGGTTCTCCACGTTAAACCGACCCTGTGTTACAACCTGACTTTGTGGGTAGGGGGTCAAGTAAATCGCCCCGCCTGGTGTTTTTAAGGTTATGCCCGCAAATCCAGCAATATTTTATTCGTTTCATCAATCTCGTCGCCTCTTGCCCAGTTTCTGAAAGACATTTATCGCTATTGCAATGCTCATTCGGTTAGGTTTTTCTTTTACGGCATATCAACACCTCAATGGGTTATTTAATGCCGACAAGATTTTTATTGCTGGTAATATATTTTTTTCAAAAATGTATTGCTGATAATATTTTTTTCAAGAATGTATTGCTGGTAATATTTTTTTTCAAAAATATATTGCTGGTAATATTTTTTATTAAGAATGTATTGCTGGTAATTTTTTTTTTCAAAACTGTATTGCTGGTAATATTTTTTCAAAAATGTATTCCTGGTAATAATGTATTACCAGTAATATTCTATTGCTGGTAATAATTTTTCTTCGAAAATATATTGCTGGTAATAATTTTTTACAAAAAAAAGTATTGTTGGTATTAAAACCTATTTTTACATTTTCATAGTGCTTTGATCCCAGTTTGGGAGTTAACTATTTACCCATATTTGGGACCCTAACAGGTGCTACCACCCCGGTTCAGGGTGGACCTGGGAACACAAGTAATTAAGAGGTGGTTCCACGCTCATTAAAACCTCCTGATCAGAGGCCTTGCTGTTGGATGTAGTTTATCATCTTACCCAGGACGCGGATGTAGCTTATCGTCATATTCAGGATGGGTACATTCGATTTTCGGTGACATTTTCGTTGTATTTAATGACATTATCTAGATAGTTAAATTTCTGTACTAGATGATAGACCGGTCGGGAATACCAGGAGCTGTAAGCTTAGGTGTGCGGGTGGTTTAATGAGAAATCGGAGAACCGCGTTCGAATTCCAGCCTGGATGGTTACTTAAGTGCAAACACCCTTGGGAAAGGCATTAATGAACTTCTTCTCCTCCCAGCTATGGGTTAAATAGTAAGAATTGTACCAGAAAATCATTATTATATACATAAATCTTTACAATCCAAAAATATGTTTCGGTTTTAAATAACCCGAAAAAGGTTGATAAGTCGTAAAAAATAACCAAATCAATCAAATTTTTATACCTGCTACACTGCATCATTGTAGCTGCTTAAAGCTTAAATATAGACATAGAAAAAAATCAGATTCTTAGTATTACATAGCTAGCTTTGTATTCCCTAAGCTTTTTGTATAGCAAATACGACGGTATTCTTCAAATAATATACTATTGCAAAAAAAAAAAATAAGCCATGGAGAAGCAATAAAATTAAGGAAGTAGTGGAGAGCCATGATCATCCACGCTGTGAAGGTACGTCGCTCATAGAAGAAATAAGAAGGGCTTTGGCATAATATTTCAACACCCTCTTTCCTATATTTCAATACTTCGGTTATTTTCTGGGATATATCCTTTCTGTTCCCGATTGAGGTCTCACATTTACCAATGATTATTACCGCATTACTTAGAAAAACTTCTGTGCCTCTTCGATTTTAAAGTCCTCTATTCGTAGCTCATATTTTGGGGTTACCCTTTTGCCGATAACTATGTGATCTGTTTTCTTAAGGTTAATAGTCCTTTCTTCTTGCTTTCCTTCGCTACATCTTGGAGTTCATTCGGGTTTCCTTTCTAATAACGGTTGAATACAACAGCTGGCTTGTTTCGGAAACCAGAAAAAGACCAGATGCTCAACGATGACATGGACAAATGATTCTAACTACACCATGTCTCAGGAATGCTACGTTGAAACTTGCTTGCAATTGAAAAACTCATTAAATCACGATCACGACTTCCGTAACCCCTGAGAGTCATAGGGTCACCACATATACAGCAACCGTAGTAGAAGTGGTGTATCATGGGCAGGATTGTCTGATGAAGCCGACCCAAACCCAGGCTTATTTGAATTCAGAGTGTTCCTTCTCCTAAACTGGTTATTAATCAAGGATATAGTTCCCAGACTGTCCTGCTATTTCCCCTCCCTCATAGCTGAGAGAAAAAGAAATGGACTGATACCTTTCAAGAGGTCAAAAATAAATGTAACGAATTCGACTCATATACGAACACGACCATCTGATTTCTCATTCAGAGCCTCTATCAATTAAACCACAATGCTTAAGAAAAGCAAACTAGTGAGATTATATTTGTACTGATTATTTAACTTGCAGATATTCCCCTCAAAATTACCCCATTTTAAAGTCGTTAAGCAGTTTTTGGTATGTTTAATTCTTTAATCTGAGATATCCACAAGGTAAAGTCACGTGTTCGCTTTGCATTGCCAAGAGATTAGAAATTGCAATTCTGATTTTTTTTTTTTTGCTTATTCATCAATTAAAAGTGCAGCTATCCTATCGGAAGTTCAGGATTTTATTTCTGTTTAATTTGCCGGAAACAGAAAAGCGCAGGTGAATGACGGGATAGAAAGTGGTCTTTATTCAAACCGTCAAACCCTGTCGTAACCATATACGCGAGCGCCTCACTTTTTGACGGTAATTTTTTATATTTCATCCACACAGACCAAACGTCTCTACTGTATTGACAAACAAGGGCCGAAGAGTGGCCAAGTTGAGGACCGGACAGGGGACGTGTGACAGATTTAGGAAACTCGAATGAGAATATAAAAGTAAATATGAAAATCAGATGAAAGGGTGACGTGAGAAGCGATAGAGAAGCAGTTTGTTTTTCTGTTGTACAAATAAGTGAAGATGCCGAAAAAAAAATGGCTGGAATGAGAGATGAAACTCTATTAAAAAGAAGCAATATAAGAGAAGGGGAAGTATAGGAAAACGAAATGAAGAAAAAAAATTTATGAGAAAGTAAAGAAGACATAGAAAAGAGAGGAGAAGAAATGAATATATGAACGACAGAAAAAATAGTGAAAGGGTGAGAAGAGAGACGGAGACAAGGAAAGGACAGTAATATGAGAAAGAAAGAAAGAAAGAAAGAAAGAAAGATTTTGAGAGAGTAAGAAGAAAACGGGTGAAAAGAAAAGCAGTCGAAAATAATATAAGAAAGAAAGAAAGAAAGAAAGAGGGATGATATGTGAAAGAAATACAAAAATATAAGAAAGGAAAAAGAAAGAAATGAGAAGGAAGATACGGTGAAGTGATGGGACGTGAAAGATAAAAACGAAAGAAAGAAAGAAAGAAAAAAAAAATACTGTGAAAGAGAAAAGAAAATACTGAAAGAAAGATGAGATTTAAAAGAAAAGAAAAGAAGAAGAAAGAAAAAATGAGAAAAAGAAAAGAAAAAAGAAAAAGAAAGAAAGAAAGAAAAGAGAGAGAAAGAAAAATACTGTGAAAGATGAGATTTAAAAGCGAAAAGCGTAAGAAAGAAAGAAAAGAAAGAAAGAAAGAAAAGAGAGAGAAAGAAAAATACTGTGAAAGATGAGATTTAAAAGTGAAAAGCGTAAGAAAGAAAGAAAGAAAGAAAAGAAACAAAGAAAGAGAGAGAAAGAAAGATACTGTGAAGGATGCGATGTAAAAATGAAAAGAAAGAAAGTAAAGAAAGAAGAGAAAGAAATGCGATGTAAAATGAAAAGAAAGAAAGAAGAGAAAGAGAAAAAAAAGAGAGAAAAAGAAAGAAAGAGACTGTGAAAGATGAAATGTAGAAATGAAAAACGTAAGAAAGAAAGAAGAGAGAGTGAAAACAATAGAAAAACTGTCAAAACCAATTCTAAAGAAACAAAATAATACTAGAAAGAGAAAATGAAATAAGAAAGAACAAACATGGTCTATATATTTTTTTTTAATTCGCTGACAATGTAATGATGACATCTTGGGCGAGTTATTTTCAATTAAGGTAAATATTAGTCAAAAGAAAGCAAATAAATAAATAAAAATGTCGAAGGATAAGAGAGAGAGAGAGAGAGAGAGAGAGGGAGAGAGAGAGGGGGAGAGAGAGAGAGAGAGAACAGAAGAGTCGAAAATATCCAGAGTGTATTGAAAGAAACGGACGAAATGAAACACTGAAAACATAAAACCAAAAAAATAATAAATAAATGACAAAAAAGTCGAACTTTTCGTCTACTCCACATATCCGATTCCTCCCGAATCCCTTCGGTCTGCCATTTTGTAGTAAACTCGAAGAGTTATAATAAATTTATATCCGTTTGGTGTGTCTCTACTTCTTTAATTTTCGTCCAGTTCATTTACGATTTCATTGGATGGATAGGCGGCATCATTAATTAGGTATATGAACGCAATAACGGGCGAGTTGTCATGCGCAGTGTCGACCGCTTTATTTCGGCGGGAAACAGAACAGGTTATGACACATTGATGGCAGATGGCTGCCGTCTGCCATCAATGCGAATAAGTGTGCAGTATAAACACAGAGAGTGAGCAAAGGAGGAAATATGTATGGCAAAAGAAATAAATGAAGAAAGGAAGGAAGAAAGCCACAAAGAAGGATGTGAAAGAGAAAAGAGAAAGAAAAGAAGTGAAAAGAAATATATATTTAAAAAATGAGATACGAAAGATAAAAGCGTAAAAAAGAAAGAAGTTTCTATAATGGGAAGAAAGAATGAAAGGAATAATGAAAGAAAGAGAAAAAATTATAGGACAAAAGTAAAAAGTGAAAAAGAAAGAAAAAACATTATTGGTAAGAGAGAAAGAAAGAAAATTTGAAAAGAAAGATTCGGAAAAGCAAGGGAAAGATAAAAAAAGATCTGTAACAGAAAGAAAGAAAGAAAGAAAGAAAGAAAGAAAGAGATACTATGATACTATATATGAAAAAGAAAAGCTTAAGAAAGAAGAGAACGACATCTGTAATATAAAAAAGAAATGTAACTGAAAGAAAGATGGAAAAAGAGAATTAAAGAAAGAATTAAAAAAAGAAGAAAGGAATAAAAAGAAAAATATTTCTAAAGAAAAAAGAAAAAGAAGAAAGTTTTGCATTGGAAAGAGGGAAAGAAAGTCTAGAAAAGAAAGATCTAGAAAAAGAAGAAAACGATAGAAAAAGATCTCAGAAAAGAAAGAAAGAAAGAAAGAAAGAAAGAAAGAAAGAAAAGAGTAGAAAACAAAACAAAAAAAAATTGTACTAGAAAGAAAGTGAAGAAGAAAGAGAAGAAAGAAAGTTTTGAAATGGAGAAAGGAAAGAGAGAACGTCTACAAAAGAAAAGAAAGAAAGAAAGAAAGAAAGAAGTAGGTGAGGACAAAAGGCAACAAATTGTAATGGAAAGGAAGAAAATAACGAAAGCAAAGGAGAAAATAAAGTTAAATAAATTTAATAAAGAAAATAGGCTGGGCTAAAAGCAAATTAGTTAGAAAAGGTAAGAAACCGTAACAAAATTTGTTTTCGTTTGTTCTTTAATACAGTAGCCGCCGCATAAGTCTACGTTATTTTTTATCTCCCTTTGGTATTTTTACTCCATCATAAATTCAGCTTACGAACAAGTAACAAACTTTTAGCAAACAATTTTGTTATAAATATTTACTATACAGTATTTCTATATGAAAGTGATTCAACACGAATGATTTATTTTTTATTCACTTTTAATTACAAATGGTTGCTCTATATAAGTGTTCGCTGGCCAAGTCAACATTAGTACCTGATAACGTGTACTAACTTGGTAGCATCATTTGTGACATGTGTGAGCATGTAGTCACATAGTCATGTGGTCATGTAGGCATTTGAAATAATGACCCGTCCTTTGATCACGCTAACCATGTTCCTCTTTGTTCACTCAACACTTCTGAATAAATTAATGCTAGAATATAATTTGCAAACAGTGTTCATCAGAGAAGACAGTACAGGTTTTACCCGAGAGAACTCCTAACTGCCGAGTGTACAGCCACGTGATTGGCCTAGCTGTACTTTGAATGCACGCGTGAGAAAGAACCGTATGGCAGATATATAAACACTCACCCCAGAGATTAAAAAAGGCTTTTCTCGGGTGTCGAGTATGAGAATGTAAGGTCAACGTTCGAATAAGAGCCTGGAGCTTCACACGCACACACCATGCGCACATACACAATCTCTCTTTCTCTCTCTCTCTCTCTCTCTCTCTCTCTCTCTCTCTTTTACATGCACAGACAAGGTCTCTCACACGCACAATTTGACGGAAATTCTTTCGGGCACACACTTGACAGTGTCTTCCGTTCACAAAACGAAATTACAGAAGGTTAACAGAAAGATATATTTTCTCTACGCGTCTCTACTTATCGCTTCTCGGTCTTTTCGGGGGTCGGGGAGAGTAAAAAGCTTTAAGCCCATGCTCCAGGGTACTTTCCCCCAAAGCAGTACCTAGCCTTCTGTAGAGGGCTGGGTTTATTGCCTGTCACCTGAGGTGTACGCAAAAGAGGAAGTGCATAGGGAGCTTGGACAATTTTTCCACGGTATTGAAGGTAAACCAAATCTAATCTTCGAACTTGTGTCACATTCGGTATCGACGTGGACAATCTTATATTTCTACTAACTTTAAGATGATAAGAGGGAAATGTAAGTCGGTAGTAACCTTTTGTTATATAGGAATAAAGTGTCGATGCCGACACTTGAGTTTGAACATAGATTGCCAGTGAGCAAACACAGGTGATCCCAGTATTGAATTAAGTGGACCACGTGACCATAGAGGAAACGCTTAAGTAGAAAGTAGCGTGACGTCTAAACGATCGTTATTTCTTTTCTATCCTCTATTACTATACTGACCGCTATTCTCTATTCTATTCAATAGACTATTTCTCTATTCGGATCACTATACGGATTACTATTTGAGCAAGTACTATTAGTGCGAGTGCTATTCGAAGGTGTTTGACACTAGTATTGTTCAACGGTGTTACTATAGCTGTATCTGCGATTTTAAAGTCTCTACTACAACGAGCATTACAAAATTGACAACTAGTATTCGTTGGCATCCCAAAAGGGTCAAAAGAGTGTTCGTTGACATCACAAAACCTTGTCATATGTTACTGTTATGGTAATTTACCCACGGACGCATGGACTTTCCCAGCTATAAATAGGAGCAGGTACTGCCTTCTGGAGAGGGTAGTTTTCAGTCGTCAGCTCTGACAGTCGGACCGAATATTCTTGCTGTAACACTCTCGTTTGTATATGTTTGTATTACTGTTTCTGTTAATATATTTATTTTATTCAATTCATCCCGTTGTGTCTTTATTTCTGGCTCTAACAAGACTACAACAGTTACTACCGACTAACATTTTCAAATTGTCAATGCTGACTTGTCAAAGCAAACGACTACATTTGCTGAGAGGAGAGTAAGGTTTAAAGGACCTTGCTGGAGAAGGAAGAATGAAATGATTTACAAAATCTTACCTAATGATCTGGGACAATATTTAAATTAACTGCTCGGCTTGTCAAAAACAGAAAAGAATTTGTGGGGGAAAATGTGTGTAGATGAGCAGACATTAGACCTTTCTCTCAGATCAATGTTTGTCAAAATTGAAAAATATTGTTTTTATGGTTTTAGAAATATGGTATATTTCATAATATAAAAACAGTGTCAAATCACTGATTCTTTAAAGAGTGATTTTTACTTTTTATTCATAAGCGTGTTTCTGTCATTGATAACTGCATACAACTAATATCGCCTTCCCCCCCCCAATTCGTTATAGTATTCAATTATCAAAACCTTGTCATATGTTACTGTTACAGTAATTTACCCACGGACGCATGGACTCTCCCAGCTATAAATAGGAGCAGGTACTGCCTTTTGGTGTGTAAAGTTTCTAGCAGTCAGCTTTGACAATTCTCGCTGTAACACTCCCGTTTGTATATGTTTGTATTACTGTTTCTCTTAAGATATTTGCTTAACTCAATTCCTGTCTTTGTGTCTATATTTCTGGCCCCTAACAAGGCCACAACATCTATCTATCTATCTATCTATCTATCTATCTATCTCATCATTGTTATGGTAATTTACCCACACATGCATGGACTCTCCCAGCTATAAATAGGAGCAGGTACTGCCTTTTGGAAAGAGAAGTTTCCAGCAGTCAGCCCTGACAGTCGGACAGAACAGAACATTCTTGCTGTAACACTCTCGTTTGTATTGCTGTTATACAATTCGTTATAGTATACAATTATCAATGTTGACATTTGTATATGAAAACAAAGTACAGTTAACTCTTTAAGAAGCCAGGGATCGATTTGACACTTTATTTATATTATTTACAGGGTCCCACTTACGAAATGATAAACATCAATATTTTTCTATTCTGTTAAATGGCATGACTTGATTATGGTTTAATGAATGCTAATTTCCAAAAAATGTTAAAATAATTCTTCCCCTTTTTTTACGAGTGGACAAGTTACTGCTTGATATTTTTGGTTTGGTTTACTTTGTTTTGTTTCATAGTATATCAACCTTAAAGGGTTATTTAATGTCGATAAGATTTTTTTTATTGCTGGTAATATTTTTTCCAAAAATGTATTTCTGGTAATAATTTTTTCTTCAAAATTTATTCCTGGTAATATTTTTTTTTCAAAAAAATATTGCTGGTTATATTGTATTGCTGGTAATAATTATTTACAAAAATGAATTGCTGGTATTAATTTTTTTCACCAAAAATTTATTGCTGGTAATATTTTTTTCCAAAAATTTATTGCTGGTAATAATGTATTGCTGGTAAAATTATTTACAAAAATGAATGGCTGGTGATAATTTTTTCTTTAAAAATTTATTGCTGGCAATAATTTTTTACAAAAATGTATTGCTGGTACTAAAACATATTTTAACACTTTCATAGCGTTTCGACCCCAGTTTGGGGTTAACTATTTGCCCATAGTTGGGACCCTAACAGGTACTACTACTCCGGGTCAGGGGGAACATGGGAATACGCCCCTCAAAATCTTCTGATCAGACGTCTGGATGTAGTTTATCGTCTTACCCAGGACGGGTGATATTTTTGGAAGACCACACGTACTTTCATCTACCGAATGATTCAAGATAGCAACTTATTAAATGAGTTGCAGTAAACTGCAATGGAAAACCATAACGTATGGAGAAGAGGAGTCATGGATGCCTAACTACGGGATCCATTCGATGATGAGGATGATGACGAGTATAAAGATTAATTTATAGTTTCTGGAATATGGCAAATTCCATAACACCATTGTGCAATCTTAAAGAAATCCTGGTAATCTTGGCCCTTCGTGCTCACAAAAAAACGTAATGTCAGAAGGCCGATTTTTCCTTTGACATCGCTATTATTTTAACTACCTTCACTCCTCAGCCAAGATTATTGTTATGAAAAGCAATGATTAGCGTTATAATAAAACCAAAACATATGATGAAAGTGAATTTATACATTATTTTGTTCTTGAGAATTGGCAGCAAAAATATTAAAAACAATTTATTTAATAGATTTACAAGAATAATTTTATATTTACAACATTCTAAAAACTAATACAATTAAAATTAATGCAATGCAATATTTATCATTTGTCAATTTATAAAGAAATAAATTTGAAAACAATTATTTATTCATAAATTTATAAACATTTACTACATTATTAAAATTTGTGAACAAACTATAAGTAAATGCTTATTATTTACCATTTTATAAAGCTCGAATCGACTAGTAATGATAGGTAGTTCACTCGCTGTTTTCCACTGTCCATCTTGCCTTCAGTATGTCCTGTGAATGCGAAAATTTCCAGGCCTTCTTTTCTCATTGTAGATCTCAGAAATTTCAACTGTTTAATCAGCAGTTCCAACAGGATGTCCAAAGATTTCTGGAATGATTCCCCAAATCTAAGCAGGAACCATTCTTTTATATTTGACGACACAATTTTGCAGAAAATTTGACGAAAACGATAGAAAGCTAAAAATAAAAAAAAATTTAAAAAATATTAATAAAATATACTGGCGAATGAATAATGTCGCTGTGAATTTACATGGATAAAACGTGTGGCAATGAAATGGTAGAAAATTTTGATTCAAACATGATAGTTCATAACTCTTCACAAAAAGTGCAAATAATTCAGGCAGGAAGTCTGTGTGACTGTCATTTCAATGTTTAAATGGACGTTTCTTAGCATTTCCTTTTGTGCGAATAAGATTTATAAGGTGAAAAAAAACACGAAATAAAAAACAGAATTTAAAACTACATTAAATATGAGAAAGAAAAAAAGAGACATGTTTTAAACGTTAAAAAAAGACAGAAAAAACACACTCAGAAATAGAGTGATAGAAGACGCCCAATATGGACAGAAAGGACACTATCCCCCCAACTCCTCTTTACAAAGGCCGTCGGTAAACCTACACCAATCCTGATGAGCGGTCATACCTTCAAAGAGGCTTCTTTTACAGCCAATGACTACTGGGGATAAATGGTGACAAATGGGACGCGTATATTCTTGCTGTCGCAAAAGATGACAGCCAAATAGACAGTCCCCTGTATCAATCTAGAAAATATCTAACTCCCGCGGTAATGCTCTATCATTACAAGATTCAGATCAGACCATGAAGGGAGTATTGATGTCAGATCTGGGCCGATTCTGCTCAAACCTCATTGTCCAGTCTCAACAAAGTTAGAAAAAACAAAAAAAAAAACAATGATAGTTCACTCGCTGCATTCCATTGTCCCTTTTGTCTTCAATATGTCTTGTGAATGTAAAATTTTCCAGGACTTCTTTTCTCGTTGTGTAACTCAGAAATTTCAACTGTGTCTTTTTGCGTTTAGTTGAACTTAAAAGGGATTAATTTATTACGAATTACTCACACATAGACAAAGTGAGACTGGGTTAATTTGTAAAGAGTAAGTAGTCCGTTTGAATGACTCTTGGGATAATTGAATGAGAAAAAGATTTTCTGAAGAAAAGAAATCAGCTAGTGATTTTGCTGTAAGATAAAGACATTCCTCGTGTGGCAAACTCATATCAGTAAACGCTCTTGGAACAAATATGGGAGCTCCTAGTTAAGATGATAAACTACATCTGCGTCCTGGTTAAGACGATAACCTACGTCCAACAGAAAGGACTCTGATCAGGTTTTGAGGAGCGTGGAACCACGTCTTAATTACTGGTGTTCCTAGGTTCACCCTGACCCAGTGTGGCAGCACCTCTTAGGGTCCCATATAAAGGGAAAAAGTTACCCCCCCAAAAAAAGGGTCAAAACACTATGAAAATGTAAAAATAGGTTTTAATACCAGCAATATATTTTTGCAAAAATTTATTACCAGCAATGAATTTTGAGGAAAAATTATTATCAGCAGTACATTTTTGAAAAAATATTACCAGCAATACATTTTTTGAAAAAAATAATACCAACAGTATATTATTGAAAAAAAAAAAAAATATTACCAGCAATAAAAATCTTGTGGTAATTAAATAACACATTGAAGTTGATATGCCGTAAAACAAAACCAAACAAGTATGGGAAGTTCTTCTGCAGTCGACATATTCTACACTTTTGTTAGATCTATCTTTTGTTGGAACGGCTGATTAGACAATCAGCCGTTCCAACAAGATGTCCGAAGATTTCTGGAAAGATCCACCAAATCTTCAACAATGCTACTCAATCCTCATTATTCGGCCTCAACAGAGTACAAAAGTGCTTACACGGCCGCGTGGGTGATGAATCATTCTTCACCGTGCAACCTTTATTCCACCAACCTTTCACTAATATATCGCTATTACTATGGTAGATGTTCAGACGAGTTACATCCCTTAGTTCCACTAATTCGGACCTTCAAAGCTTGGATCCGACATGCTGTGTTTACTGTAGCAAACCATCTTCATTCGATTAGTGTACCTTTGATAAAAATCAAGTTCAAGTCAGATAGCTTCTTCTCCAGAACGGTTGCTTTGTGAAACTCCCGAGAGGATGCTTCCCTGACAACTCTAATCTTGTTCTCTTTAACTCCAGGGTCAACCGATATCTATCCTACTCGTTCTCATAATAGTCTTGCATTTCTCTTCCCCCTCCTTTACAATATACCTCAATGACCTTCTACCTTGAGTGGCTCTTGGGACTTGTATTAGATGAACTGTCATTTTTTTAAAAATGATGTCTACCCTGTACAAAACCCAGGAGCCACTTGATTTAGAGGGTTACAGAATATTAGGCATTGTTTATGAGGATATGTGGCGAAGATAACCGTTCTCTCCGGAATTGAGCAGATTAAGATTGTAGTGATAGAGGAAAGCACCCTCTCGGGAGTCGATTTAACGAAACAATGCTTTGTGGGAAGAAGCTGTTCGAGCGAAACTTACAGCTCGTCAATGGAATACGAAGGGAATGAGGGTGGTTTGCTGCAATGGGCGTGGCATGGTGGGTCTTAGCTGTGAATGTTAGAACTGGTGGAACTAAGGACTGTAGTTAGTCTGAGAACTTTCCATAGAAATAGTGATAGAAGAATTTTGGAACAATCTCCCAAGAGAATGCTTCCCTGACAACTACAATTTTGATTTCTTTAAGTCCAGGGTCAACCGATATCTATATTTGCTCGTCTTCATAATACTCCCGAATCTCTTACAATCTCACCCAACTTGAGCGGCCCTCGGGCCTTGTATTGATTGAATTATTAGTAAATGAAAAAAAAAATGATTTATGAGATTAGCCGTCTAAGGCGAAAGTAAAAATCTTGATGCCACAGCAGGAGGTATGAATGATCCGCGTCAGGTCAAAAGTTACATATTCGCAGAAGGTTTAAACTAACAGCCCCACAATCGTTTCGAGTGATCTTTCTTGGACACTGACAGAGGGTGTGTCAATAAGAAAACAGCGACTGTTAATATCTCACCTTTGCTGTCACCGAAAACAATTACCCTCATAAGATTGCTTTTTTTTTTTTTTTTTTTTTTTACGAATGGTGGTACGTGTGGGTGACATAAGGGAAGATGTACTGGATCCAAAGTGTAAAGTGGCTTTTGTTGCCGGTTTTGGAGCAGTGATGTTTGTTTTGAAGAAATAAAGGGGAAAGGAATAAAGAATAAAGACGAAGGACTAAAAGAAAAAAAAAGACCCCCAAATACACACAAACGCACAACAAATGATAGGCAAAAGAACAGGCCCTGACTCTTCAAGTAACACAGAAATAAAAGAGAGCTGAGTATTTTTTTTCTGTTAAATATATTCGAGAGTATTCTGTTTATTATTACGTCCGAGCGCTGATATTGTTGCACAATCTTTACCTCTAACAGTGGTCGCTGTCCGGGTTCAGCTGGAAGCTCAGATTTAGATTGCTAGTCGATGTGAAGGTAGCGTAACGGCTAGCAGTTCGGGAAAAGAGATCGACATACTGAGATCGAATCCCGGTCGATTTGGTTATGTTTACTAACTAGACGACGTCCTGATAATTACTAACTTTTGACGACGGAAAAGGGGACACATAAATCCAAAACCCAATGGGAACAATAAAAGATTCCTTCCGGAAGCTAAGCAAAATATTAAGAACATTGAAAATCACTTTAGCAAAAAAAAAAAAAAAAAAAGGATTCTGAAATGCCATGTACTATGTAATCTTCCCACAGTCTCCTACCAGATGAAGACGAAACGTGAAGCGACAAAGATGCGTTTCTACAGACGAATGCTAAGAATGGACAGAACATGTAAACGACAAGGAAATGTTAGGGAAAATGGAATAAAAAGAAAACTTATACTTACAATCAGAACGAGGCAACTAACATTTATATGACATATAGAAGAAAGAGAGCTGATAGAATTTAACATTCATATGACATATTGAGAGATACGGCCATATTACGTTGAAACATTGGTTCCTGTACGATCACTGAAGTCAAGCAACGTCGAGTCTGGTCAGTACCTAGATTGGGGAAATCTTGCGAATAACAGGTGCTGTAAGCTTGGAAGTGAGGGTGGTGTAATGTATAATGACTCGGAAGTGTTAATCGGAGAGCCGAGTTCGAATTCCCGTCGGGTTCGTTATATTCACTTACGTGCAAAATACTTTTGGGAAAGGCATGAATCCATCATTTTCCCCCCACCTCATCTATGTGTTAATTCGTAAGACAAACATCACTAAATCATTATTATCTTAAAAAAAAAAAAAAAAAAAAATTTTACAATCTAAAAATATTTCCTGAAAAGGGTTGATAAGCCGTAAAACAAAAGGAACCAACCGGGCATATTGAAAGTAAGAGAACCAGAGAGAAACAGCGAGTTGCCAACTTAACGAGTTTGTGTAAATGGATGACAGAACAACGATAGTAAACTGTCAAGGTTTATTTAGAACAATAACATATAGGAAGCTGTAGAGAGCCATGGTCGCCAACCTCCGGAAACAATTTAGAAGAAGAATCTTCATCTAGTGACGAAGTTTCAGTTATGAAGACGTCAGTGTGGATCGAACGCATTACGCTAGTATTTGTTTCGGAGAATAATTTGCTAACAACTTCTATACAACGGGCGTTAAAAAACCCTCCCTCCCCCCAAAGAATAAAGTAAAAAAATAAGGAAATCGTGGCATGGTGGGGGTGTACTATCTACTTCCCTTTTGGCCTACGTTTATTTACATAAAGCAACTGCAAAATAAATAAATAAATAAATAAATAAATAAATAAATAAAATATATTATTAAGTTCTTTCTGAAAAGAAATTTGCCTCAAGAATTGCAATTAGTCAAGGAAGCTTGCTCATTGCACCTGTTAATCCACAATCGGATTGGAAATACCCCGTCGACATCCTGGAAAAAAATTTCTTTTTTTTTTTACACTTCAGTTGCCGCTGATTTGTTTTACATTACCTCCCGTACTAGCACGGCATTGCGTCTGAGGCATCTAGCAAGAGTCAGAAAAACGTGTTAACTCAAGCTGGGATTTCTTTTCTTTGTTCAGGTCAAAAGAGAAGTTTAGCAATATCAAGATTATCCTGGACTAGCGGAAGGACATGAGAGTTGGAAAATTGTGTGGCGCCATTTATTTACTTATTATTGTTTTTTATTTTATTTTATTAAAAAGACTGGATGTGGTGTAATGGATATCTGCTCGGAATAAGAAATTGAAGAGTGCTGAGTTCGAATTCCAGTCGGGATCGTTAAATTCACTTACACTCAAATACCTCTGGAAAAGGTATAAATCTATTACTTGTCCTTCAAGCTATGGGTTGCAGGACAGACTGAGTTCTATAGCCTTGGATGGAAACCATTCTACTACAGATAGAAACGGCAGTCTACTGCGGGAATATCTTCTGCCTAGTGAGATCGAAAGAGACATGATCGCCCAAACGTTTAGCACTTAATTGAATGAAATGTACCGGGATTACTGCTTAGGAAATTAGCATTCGAGATCTTGTCTTCGTATCGTTTGTTTTATTACTGTTGTGGCCTTGTGCCAGAAATAAAGAGAGGAATTGAGTTAAACAAATATATTAACAGAAAACAGTAATACAAACATATACAAACGAGAGTGTTACAGCAAGAATGTTCGGTCCGACTGCCAGAGCTGACTGCTGGAAACTTCACTCCCAAAAGGCAGTACCTGCTCCTATTTATAACCGGGAGAGTCCATGCGTACGTGGGTAAATTACTATAACAATTACTAACGGACAAAATCTCAAACTGGGAATAGCCGTTTGCATAGAAGAAATATCCGGCATTCATTGATAAAACAGAGTTGGCACTTTGACGTAGTTTAATGGTTAGCAAGCTTGTCTCGCTAGATCAGTTACGGCTGAATAGTGAGTTTAACCCCCAGTGGATACTTTGGGCCTTGTGAGACTCTTAAAAAAATAACTATAACCCCTTGGCTTCAGTTTTAATTGACGGATACTTAAAACTCTGAACAAATTCAACCAACATGCGAATCATTTGTTTAACGAAACGTGGAAGACAACATCAACTATGAACAAAGACCCAATGTGCTGACCGTGTTTGGAGAATAAAAACAGTCCTATAACTCTAGATACATAATTAGATAAAATAAAATCCATAAAATTATCCATTGTAATGGTTAAAAAGATAGCCGAATGCGCTCGGACATACAGAACATACGCAGGTCCAGAAAAAAAAACACTATATGAACATAAGAAAAATAAAAATAAAACTGATATATATATATATATATATATATATATATATATATATATATATATATATATATATATATAAAAAGACATTTTTATGTTTAACGTTCTTTTTATAGATACAAGTATTTAAGTAAATGCTCTGTTTATAATAAACAGTATTATAAATATTTCTCGGACATTCAGGCCGGTAAATGTTATTTAATACTGTTTATTATAAACAGAGCATTTACTTAAATACTTGTATCTATAAAAAAGAACGTTAAACAGAAAAATGTCTTTAATAAATAAATTGTCGGGCTTTGTCCATTTCTTAATATATGACGTCATTTGTTTACATTTGATACGCCAGAGCAGTTATGAATGTACGAGATTCATGGAAGATTGAAGTTCATAAGCAGTAAATTCGACCTTGTCTACCGAACGCTCCTTTGTGGCTGGTCGGTAAGGCACGTCAGCGTAAATGACGGTTCCGTATAGGATGCAGGTTCGAATCCTGTCAAAGGACGAATATTTTCTATGAAAATTTCTCGGGAATTTGTTATTTAATACTGTTTATTATAAACAGAGCATTTACTTAAATACTTGTATCTATAAAAAAAGAACGTTAAACATAAAAATGTCTTTAATAAATAAATTGTCGGACTTTGTCCATTTCTTAATATATATATATATATATATATATAGCTGACCACTCATATTCGAGGATAACCGTCTACTAGGGCGTCTAGCCAATCAATAGACGCCCACTCAGGAACATTTGTGTTTGCTCAACACCCACAGAGCCCACCTGTGGTTTATACAGCAACTGTGCTGAGCAAACGTTAGTTACAGTTTCTGTGAAAGAGCGTGTTATTTAGTGTGATCAATAATTTGAACAAGGCCAGCACGCTCCAGCCCTCGGCCACAATAACTTCTGGCTTTGTGCTAGCACAGCTATCGACGGCCCTCATATATATATATATATATATATATATAGTTAAATTTCTCAGAAATGCCAATATCCCCAAAGAGGATTACGCAGGAGCGTCTCTTTTTTTAAATTTTGGATTTGATGTAACTATAGCTACAAAATATTTCTCTTTCATTGCTTGATTCGATAAAGTCAGAAGAGGAAACGCGTCGGCAAGGACTAAGAATTTTTTTCCAATTGCCATTATAAAACCATATATATATATATATATATATATATATATATATATATATATTATTGGAGGTAGATGGGTTCGCCTATCGTCCGCTACACACTTACCACATCGTGTTTTCTTTTAATTAGTGTAAAAGTTTATCCGCTGATTTTTGTTTCGGATTAGGTTTCCGGTTCCATTTAAAGTCTGCTACAATTCAATACTCCTGAACTCTGAAATTTTATTTATTAACTAGCAGTAGAGTCCGGCGTTGCCCGGGGATATAACAGTAAGAGATAGATCAAGTATCCACCATCATAAAGACTGAAAAATAAAATTGACAAAGATTATTGTTTCAGGTTGACGGACACGCATGTCTTTATTTTTATTTTTTTATTTTTTTTTACGAATTGGTCAAACCCAAACTCAAACAAAAACATTGTTTTCAATCGTTATGAGTCTACCGATTGAATAGAATTTTATTATAAACAATTGTCTTGTAAATGGAATTTTTAAAGCGTTCTGAATGTAAAAATAAAGAAAAAAGTTTGCAAGATAATAAGAAACACTACCTGCCAAAAAAAAGTGAAGTTTTGTTGAAATCGGTTGAAAAATGTAGGAAATCCGATCCCATATATAAACGAACATACACACACACACACACAACCTGGGCTTTATAATAAGTATAACTCGATATGAGTTGTCCCCTTTCATTCTCGCGATGCCACTTAATCGTGTTTTCAAATTGATTTCGTGCAAAAACAATTGTGTTTTTTCCAATTTTTTGGCGCTATCAGAACCACCGCAAGGTAATTTTACGTAGTCCTGTGAAGTTTTGTTGAAATCGGTTGAAAAATGTAGGAAATCCGATCCAATATATAAACGAACAGACACACACACACACACACAACCTGGGTTTTATAATAAGTATGATTCTTTTTTCCTCTTTAATAAAAGTAAATAGGTTCGTCTGTTGTCCGATTCACAATCAACCCCGGAACAGGAGTAGAAGTTTATACCTTCTTACATGCTTAGGGTTTGGTTTCCGATTCCTTTTAAAGCCTCCTCATTCTCGCATTCTATCTATCTATCTATCTATCTATCTATCTATCTATCTATCTATCTATCTATCTATCTATCTATCTCTCTCTCTCTCTCTCTATATATATATATATATATATATATATATATATATATATACAATGATAAATCAAGAAAATCTTAAAAATCAATATCAGAAAGGTTCTAAAACACGTTCGATCTGAAGAGATGAATATTAAAATATTCATGAAATAAATTATCTCTATCTATAAAAGGCAGGAAGTATGTGTATGTAACGAATGCATGGCCGCAATTTTCGACGGATTTGCACCAAAATTTACATGCACATGCTCCAAGTTAGCGGAAAGCCAAGACCGACTGTACATTTCCCAACTCCCATCGATAGTGGAAATAATCGATTTTTTCATGCTTCTACGGCAGTTTTCATATTGTTTGCGGCCATTTTCTACTGGCCAGAGTGAGAGCCTATAGCAGGCTGCCACGAATAGGCAGGAAGATTCTATTGGCCAGCGTGAGAGCTAACAGCTGACTGACACGAATGTTAACTAGCATGCCAAAAAATCGATAGTTGCATTTGTCACAAATGTAAAAAATTTAAATCTGCACGACACTTTACTCCAATTGGCTCATTCGC